CTCGACGCAGCTAGAGCCGCTTGGTTGTGACGGTGCCGTTTTTCTTCCTTCTCAGCATAGTTTCTGAAAACAAACACCTTCCACCTATGCTTGCCGTGAAGAATGCTCAGTTGAGAAAAATAACTATTTTTGTTCTGCAGTAATTGTGGTTCCTTCTCAATTTTGTGTTTGCTGTTTATAAACTGATAAAAATAACAGTTACTAGAATCATTAAAGCTGAACACCTTACAGCTTTATTTGCGACACAAGGAAAAACCATTTAAAATTGAATTGTATTAGTGTGCAGTCATTTGTGATGTAAATTGTATTTTTTCATTCAGTATATCAAGTATGACCATCTTATGAATCAAGTGAATATAATGTGTATTTACCTATATTCCAGAATTAACATACTAACCTCAGAGCAGTAGAGGGCACTGGAAAATTATAGTTGTGTGTGTTTTATTCCTCACTCCATCTTCTTCCCCTGCCCAAATTTCTTATTTTTGTTTTCACTGAAGATGCATATATTTTTGAGATATAACTCACATAAAATGTACCAGTTTGAAGTGTACAATTTAGTGACTTGTAGTTATTCACTATATATTGATAGTTATAAAGACCCCTATCTAATTCCAGAATATTTCTATCATTCCCAAAAGAAACCCTTACTTATTGGCAATCAATCCCAGTTCCCTTTCCCTCTATGGACTTGCCTGGACATTTCCTATAAATGGAATCATACAGTATGTGGCTTTTTGTGTCTAGCTTTTTCACTTACTGTGTTTTCAAAGATTCATCCATATTGTGGCATCTAACAGTACTTCACTTCTTTTTATGGCTAAATAGTATACCATTGTGTATATATATATATATATTTTGTTTATTAGTTGATTGACATTTCCAGATTTCACTTTTTATTTAAATCACTGTTTTTGTTTTAAGATTTGGGGAAAACCAGTCTCTCCACCCCTCACTCCCCATGGCTTATACATGCCCAGCTTGTTTTTCTAGTAATGTCTGAAACAGTAATATCTGAACTTCTTTTTATAGGTTGACTTTGATAGCAACATTTTTGTAGATCATGTATTACCTCCCTGCTGTACCATAAAAACCCCAGCAGAGGGGCGCCTGGGTGGCTCAGTCGTTAAGCGTCTGCCTTCGGCTCGGGTCATGATCCCAGGGTCCTGGGATCGAGCCCCGCATCGGGCTCCCTGCTCCGCGGGAAGCCTGCTTCTCCCTCTCCCACTCCCCCTTGTGTTCCCTCTCTCGCTGTGTCTCTCTCTGTCAAATAAATAAATAAAATCTTAAAAAAAAAAAAACCCAGCAGAGTTAATAGGAAGAATGTTATTAATGTTGGTGAGAGCTCAGTGGCACCCTATATAATTTGTAGTATGATAAATGGACAATTAATCAATGCTCAGAATAAAGCATGAACAAAGCTCTGTTACGAATGTGAACACTCTGAGAGGCCAGGCCACAGGTAGCTGTCTCACTGGGCTCCGGGCAGTGGAGACTACACCGGCCTCACCAGGCTGGTTCCCCAAATGGCAGCGGAGGGAACAGAGCAGGCAGGCAGGCATGGGCAGGATTCTGAAGGAGCTGCTTCCCCCTTCCTTTCCCTGGTGGCCGCATGCCCTCCCTCCTTCAGGCACCCTCAGGCTCTCCTGTAAGAACTGTGTTCAGGAGAAGATCTAATATGGTCACTTCCTCCTTCCTACTGGGTGGGGGGGACACTTTATATCTGTTTTAAAATCTTGATGCTCGGGGCACCTGGGTGGCTCAGTCATTAAGCGTCTGCCTTCGGCTCAGGTCATGGTCCCGGGGTCCTGGGATCGAGCCCCCCGTCGGACTCCCTGCTCGGCGGGAGGCCTGCTTCTCCCTCTCCCACTCCCCCTGCTTGTATTCCCTCTCTCGCTATGTCTCTGTCTGTCAAATAAATGAATAAAATCTTTAAAAAAAAAAGAAATTAAAAAAAAAATCTTGATGCTCTCATGGGGAGATACTTGTTTTTTAATTAATGACTTCACCTTTTAGTACTCCAAGGCCCTTAAAAAAAGAAAAATGGTGTTTTCAGAGGTCAGGCTGGAACTTTAAGCCTTCGTGGGTAAACATAAAGGAACTATAAAATAACACAGGTTTTTAATCTGGTAATGTCAGGCTGAAGCAATTACATTTTCTGTGGGTCTTTGAGATGGACTAGAAGCATCTCACTAAAACGTATCTTCACGTACCCATCATCGAGCTTCAGAATTGCGTATGACATTTTAAATTGAATTAAAATTATTAGTACTAATTAAGCCCATCTGGTGAATGGGAAGTTCTATTTTTATGGAAAGCAGTTGAGTGGGAAAATGTGTATTTATTAGTCATGCCTTCATTATACCTCCTGGAAACCAGTCGGGATCACAAGGCCAAATTGCCCAGGAAGAAATAAAGAATGTCGGGTTGTGTAAAAATCACCCGAGACCTTTGATTGACCGTATTTAAGTGCAGCTTCAGGCCAGTGCCCAGACAGTGGGTTTTGGGACGTTGGAGTGGTGCCCCGGAGTCTACCTGCCCAACGAGGTCCGCCAGAGGACTCGAACAGATTCCCAGTGGACCACACTTGGGGAAATAGCTCCGTCTTATAATCCCAGATCTACAAAGTGATAGTGAAGTTATGGTAATATAAGTGACAGAGTACTTCCAATCAGCAAATTAGGCTGGGCTTGTCACCTAATTAATGATTTTTAAACATCACAGGTGAAAAGGGAAAAATGCCTTTGTGGAGGCAGCATTTTCTGTTCCTCCATGAATTCAGAAATGCTGGCGGGCTGATTGCTGAGTGGGGGGGCGTCCTTTGCTCCCTCAGTTCCAGCCCCTGAAGCCCACTTGAACTTGCTTTTCAGAATATGGCATCAGCTGTTTCTCTAGAGACCGTGGTTTTAGTCCTCGAAGTTATTAGTGCCCGATGGGAATCGAGTTCACTTCAGTACCATATTGTTTAAGTGCTTCTGTGACCTTCAACCTCAGACTCCATACACGGTTCTCTGTGCATGAGACACAACGGCTTTTGTTCCTTTTGAAAAAGCTCTGGCTTTCTGGGAAGTATAGGGAAATTGTTTTCTTTTGGGGAAAGCCAGATGCCAGGGCTGGTAGTGACCCAAGCACAGTCCTGGGTATTCTCCCTGAGGGCAGACGCCGCATCTTACTCATCCTTGAGGCCGCGGCGCATCCTGCACAGAGCCTGGCACCTGCTCCTAGAGCCAGGGAAAGGGGTATGTCTGCTTGGAAGAAGAGGGTGGTGGAGAGAGTTGCTGCCCACGCAGAACAAGGCTGCATCCCTGCGGTTGGCTGTGTGGGTGCAGAGTGCAGGCATGAGGGAGGCAGCGGGGGGAGCGGCCCCTGTCCTTGACATCCAACGGGCCCTCTGCCAGATGCAGGACAGAAGGGCAGTGTCTTTCAGTCCAGCCAAATGGAGAGGCTCCAGAAGCTTTTCTTTCTTTTTTTTTTTTATTGAAGTATAGTTGACCAGAAGCTTTGTGGAGCGTTATGAGAGAGGCGATGAGTTCCTTCCTGTTCTGAAAGGCCCTTCAGGGCTCTCTTCCATAACGGGAGGGGAGAGCCCTAGGCCTGACTTCTTTAAAGAGCTGGGCTTGCTTTCAGCACTGCCGTACCCCAAAAGGTAGGGTGCCACGTGACTGGGCAAGGGGCAGCTGAGCTCCGTGGGCAGTCCTAAGCTCTGCCCCCCTCCCCAAACTCACACCTTCTTGGACCAGCCTGTTCCCTTCCTGTCTTTTCAGCTCACCAGGCCCAACCCCCTTCTTTTTAATTTGTTCCCCAGAGCTCACTCTCCTTTTCTTTTCCTCTTCCTGCTTCTGGCCTCCCTCTCCTTATTCCCAGGAGTTATATGCATGTCTTGAAGTCCAGCCCTTTGATTTCTTGCAGGATGGGGATGCCTAGGCCAGGAATTTGGGCAGCCACCCTGTCACCTGGCAGGGAAACTCTCCTGGGAGAGGGGATGGAAATCTTGGAACTTGAGAGGGATTCCCTTGAGGGTCAGTGGAAAAGAAATGTGAACCTCCAGTATCTCAGTACTCCTTGAACCTCAAGTCAAAGAGTCACCTCATCCCCATCAGGAGGGACCAGCCATGCAGTGTTCATGCCTTACAGAAGACTTGCATCTCCCATCCTGTTGGCGTCCTCCATTCTCCGATGGGTCTCAGCTTCCTAGCCACGTCCACCTGAGCAATGTCCATTTGTCCTCACGTTGAAGACACAGAGTTCTGATGGGCCTTGCTATTGAAATGATGCATTTTAATCAGCTACTTCACTTCGTTTGAATGTCAGGCACTGGCGTGTCATAAAACCACCACTGCGCTGAGGCCGCTGCTTTGGCATCCACATGGTCCTTAATATTCGGCAGGTTTGAGGCGCGTGGGATTTCTGGGTTTGCCAGAGCCACCTACTTTTCCTTAGACCAGACAGATGACCTAGTGGCTACGTGTTTCCTTCCCTGGGTTTGCAGCCGCTGGGAGAGGTTCTTCGGGCAGGGCTCCAAGGCCAAGGACGGGGTGCGTCCATGCCTGCCCGAGGGCCAGCACAGGAGTACCTCTGTGCAGATGTTTCTGCTTTGGCAGGTGGTATATTTCTTGTTTCAAGTAAAGAAACGACTCATGTCTTCTTTGGGGACTATTAGCTCATCACAGGTTTTAGAGAGCCTGAAAAAGTGTCAGGTTGTGCTGGTATTTATATTTTGCTTACACACACGTGCGCATGCACAGACACACGTGAGATTGGCATGCGGTCTGAATGAGAAGAGGGTGGTTGGTATGGGGTCTGTATCCAGGAGGATCTCAGGATTCTGTGCCCTTGCCCCCTCTCCTGGGTCAGGGAGTCTGGAGGGTGTGTTGCAGTTAGACATCCCGCCCCCCCTCCCGCCCCACTCCCGGGTGGACTCTAACAGGGATAAATAGTTTGGGGTGTGGGCCCTAGATTTGCTGTCGTGACTCACTGAGTGTGCATCCCTGTTCCCCCAGGCGACTTGGAGCTCCTCTTGGTGCTGACATGATGACAGTGTGCAGGCCAGCCAAGGGCAGCCACATCCAGACTGAAAGCCTGAGCTACAAATTGGCTGACAAGTAAGAGCTTTTCTCCCCTGAGAGTGTAGACGTTAGCCTAGATTCTCCACTTCCTTCCTTTCTCTACTGCCTTTCCCTCCTCTCTATCCCCACTTCCTTGGACTAAGGACGGGTTCTTTTCTGAGTCCTTGCGATGAGCCTCCTGGAAATCATCCCCACGCGCTGCAGAACCTGAGACCACAGTGGTCAGTGGAAGATCTGACTAGTGTCCAGTTGTGGAGAGGACGGGCCCGTGGCAGCTTCAGGCCCTCTCCCCATTCCAGCCCGGGATTTGTTTTCCTAACTACTAGGATGCATGGGCTTTTTAATTATCCTCGAGCCTTACATCTTTACAGCTGCATCTGTCTGCAAAGTCAGCTTTGCCCATCCTGTCTCAGCAGTGCTGTTTTCTCTCCAGATGGAGCCCTTTCCTCTGACTCTCTGTCTCACACTCTACGGTGGGCTTGGTGACCACAGCTCTGCACCCCAGTCCCTGGCCCCTTCTGGGGCCATAGAGTCCTTCTGGAAACAGGACCTCAAAAAATTCTTGGGTGCAACAACCACATGGAGAGGACCCTCTGCCTCTGGCTTCATCATCCTTGCCTCTCGCTTGAACTTCATAAATCCATGCAGTCTTCCAGCAAGCCATCCTTCTTCTTTTTCAGTTTTCACATAGGCCTCCGTGATTGTGAGGTCACCCCAGATGTCTGGGATCTTAGACAATAACTATAATAATTGCAACACTCCTTGCCATTTAGTAATATCAAGAATTAGAATGTGTGCTGTACTCTGGGAATGTTAACATGTATTGACTCATCCACTCATTCATCTTACAAGTATTTTTTGACTATTTACTGCATACTAGGCACAGCAAACAAGATGAATTTGGCCTCTGCACCAGTCAAGTTCCAGTCTAGGGAAGGAAGAGAGAGTTATTTATTTATTTGGCACGGGGGCGTAGAGGGAGAGGGGGAGAGAGAGAATCTTAAGCAGGCTCCATGTTCAGTGTGGAGCCTGACACAGGGCTCGATCTCATGACCCTGAGATCATGACCTGAGCCAAAATCAAGAGTCAGATACTCAAAAACAAACAAACAAAAAGAAAGAGTCAGATACTCAACCAACTGAGCTACCCAGGTGCCCTGAGAGTTCTTACTTTAAAATGAAAAAAATACAGCCAAGATTCAAACCGAGGTCCCTCTGACTTGAAAGCCATAATTATCTGTTGTCAATATTGTTAACAGTACATGGGTGGCTCAGTCGGTTAAGTGTCCGACCTGTGATTTTGGTCATGATCTCATGTCGTGGGATTGAGCCCTGCATGGGGCTCAGTGGGGAGTCTGTTGGACAGTCTCCCTCTCCCTCTACCCCTCCCCCCACTCATGCTGTGTTCTCTTTCTCTCTCTAAAATAAATAAATCCTTAAAAAGAAACCAGTATGTATGATATATATGATTATTGTTATATCATCCATTGTCATTAAGCAAGAACTAATGAATTGTGTTTTTATGTGTCTGTCCTGTCACCTTGCTTCTAGCACTGTGAGAGTGGGCTTTAACTTCTGCCTTTTGAACGCTCAGTAAAATATCAACAAACTGATTCTGCTTTTGCTTCTGACTAAAATCTGAATTCATGCTAATGTCCTCAGTGGTGACAGGACAATTAAAAAATGTGTTTCTCTTTTGTAAGCACTCTGTTATGCATGCTAATTGTTTATTTAAGTAAGGAATTCTGCTTTGATAGCTGTATTTAAAATATGAAAATGTGTTTGCCTATTCACAAGTTTCTAATTTATGCTGTGCAACCGCAAATAGCAACGCAATTTACGTGTTAACGTCCCAATGGAGGGAGAAGTCTTCGTGTAAACAATTATTAGTCTTTGGAGCAGAAAGCTAAATAGTAACAGGATGCATGAAATTGCTAATTATTCATTCCTCACTGTGAACCTTAACTGGAGTTTCAGAATTCCTATATAGTCAGATCTATATATTCAAAAAATATGCACCATGAAGTTGGTCAGTGCGTCCTTGCTAATCTTGGCACATCCAAGATCACTCCACTTAGTTATGACCTTTGCTGGTGGAAGAATGTTTTGCATTCAGAAACAGATACTCCCGTTCTCATTAGACTAGCTTAAAAATGTTTTCCTGGTTTTCTTTCAAAAGAGCTTTTAACATCTTCATGGCATTGACTAATCCCCTAAAATCACATTTGGAGGCATATCTCCCCACATGTTTGTTCTAGGCCAGAACTTTCAGCGATGATGGAAATATTCTTTTGCTCTGTCCAATGTGGATGTCACATGTGCGTAATGAGTACCATGTTCTACTACTCTGCCATTGTTCTAGGTGCTGGGGATTCAGCAGTAGCCCAGATAGGCCAAAATTCAAAGTAATCCAACAAAACGAAGCAATCCCTGTCCACATGAGAAACCAGTCTAGTCGGGCTCACATTCTAGAGGAGGTCCAATTCAAATGCAGCCAATAATTTTGGCTTTACCTACTCAAGTCAGGAGAGCTTATAAAGCCCAGAATTAGCAAACATTGTATGACTTATGGCATTGTTCTAATTTTTAAATAGTCATCACAAAGGCCCATCCGTTGATTACAGAAGCAGAGCAAATCTGGACTGTGTAAGCTTTTACCTCAGGAGATGTTCCCTATTTTCATCAGGGAAACAAGCTAACAATAATGATAATAACATTTATTGTACACTCACGACATGCTAGATGCTTAATATGGTCTGCCTCTTTCAGTGTTTTCAGCCACTCTGGTAGATATGTATTATTATTATTCCCATTTCACAGATGAGGACACTTAGGTTTAGAGAAGTGAAACAGTTTGTCCAAGGTCACACAGCTGGTCAGTGGTTGAATTAGGCTTTAAACTCAAGTCTACTGCATTCCAAAATCCAGTAGTTCCTTTCATTCCACAATACTGTCTTCCCAAGAAGAGCAAAGTGATTCCTTAAAATGGTGGTTTCAATGTTTGTGACGTACAACTAGCATATAGTATTTATATCTAAGTTCTAGCCAATCTCTATGACCAGCCGAGAACAATGACTAAGAATCCATCACCCAATGTTTGTCTTTCTTGTTCAGGGTCAAGGTGGAAGGTCCAAAGGCTGGGGAAGACCCTCGAAGGCTGCCATTTAAGTCCCCCATTCCTTTCCCAGAGACTGATCAGGATTCACCCCCCAGAAGAAGCTCATTGGAAAGTCTCAATAACCTGATGCTAGAGTCAAGAGTGGACTGTTTTCAGCAGAACATGTTCAGCTCAAATATGATCATCAGCGACCCAGCTTCAGATCTCAGCGCTAAAGAAGCCAGCAAGGCGGGCAAGAGGCAGCTCAGTGGCATTCAGAACCCCTGCCCTCCTGCCCGAGGCGGGGCCCTGCACAAGCCCCTCAGCATAAAGGACAAGATATCCGAATGGGAAGGGAAAAAGGAGTTGCCTACTCCTGCACCCGGCAGGAAAGCAGATGGGCAGGAGGACTACCTGATGTCCTGTGTGATGGGGAGGAGAAGCAGTGATGGTGTGAGAGCATGGGTCACGGAGGTTCAGGATGGAACCAGGCCCGAGACAGAGAGCAAAGAAAATGAGAGGAATAAAGGGGTCGTGAAAGTTGGGGCACAGGATGCAGAGCCAAGGCAAGACCTCAGCCAACCAGCCGGGCAGCTGGCACCCAGCTTGGGCAGAGCCCGAGAGCCCAGGCTGGGCAAGCAGCGCTTTCCAAACGATAGCCTCTCCGTGCTGAGGCAGGTCAAGAAACTGGAGCAGGCTCTGAAGGATGGGTCGGCGGGGTTGGATCCCCAGTTACCTGGGACTTGTTACTCCCCACACTGCCTGCCAGATAAGGCTGAGGATGGGCCTGCCCTTCCTGAGAACCGTGGGGGCGGGCGTGGCTCGGAATTCAGGTCCCACCACTGGGACCTGGAGGCCAGGGAGCCCACTCCTGAGGCCTCAGAGGAAAGGAAAGGCTCCTGCAGGAGGCCCTGTGACCAGATCCTGGAGGGTGTGGACAGGAGCTCGGAGGGCTCCCCTGCAAAACCCTTCATCAACCCCCTGCCCAAGCCCCGGAGAACGTTCAAACACGATGGAGAAGGGGACAAGGACGGGAACCCAGGCATCAGCTTCCAGAAGGATAAAAGGCACCTGCCTCCTCTGCCTTCTCTACCTCCCCCGCCCCTGCCCTCCTCCCCCCCGCCCTCCTCCGTGAACAGAAGACTATGGACCGGGAGGCCGAAACCCAGTGCTGACCACAGGTAGGTGACGGCTGACTCTCTGCTCCAGTGGTTTATGCGGCATCACAGCTGCTCTCAGGCGAATTACTGGTTTTATTAAACGGATGGATCTTGTAGTTGGTCGAGACCGTTCATGGCTTGAGACAGTGTATTGATGAAACCCGGAGACGTGATAAGCGATGCCTGTGTTTTGTGTTCTCTGTCCTCAAAATGGGTATTGGCTTTGAAAATGTACCTTTTGGACATGATAAGTACTCGTATTTCTGCCACTAACCAAGACTTCAACGAAAACTCAGTTAACTCTGGCAATGGACTAATTCATGCTAATTGACACTCATCTGCCACTACCGTCCCCCACTAGTGCATGGTGCTTCCAATATCCCCTGGCTCCTTTCTTCATGTTTTTTCTTGGTATGAGCTCTAGAAACACAGGCCGGGTCTGCCTCGGCCCTGTCGCCGTCTATCTGTGAGACCTCGAACAAGTTGTTCGACCTCCCAAAGCCTCTGTTTCCTCGCTTATACGTAAAGAGGCACACCCTAAATATTTTCTAATGTCAAAATCGTACATTAGATAATAAAGCATGTGCACGCTTGAAGGTCAAATTTGCGTGTTGGAAACCATTTCTTTCCTGCTTTGAGAACTAATTTCTGGCCCATTTCTGGGATGTGCTAATTGGTTTGATCCCCACTAATCTGGAAACCAGCCACAGAGCAAAACTCAAAACCGTTGTCTCTGCTCTGGTCACCCATTCTGCACCTTCTGTTTTCCCCTTGACTCCCTGCAGTTGGGCTTTTGCCGCTTATCCTGAAACTGCTCTTGACACAGGCCACCTGTGACCCCCCATCTCACTAAATCCAGTTGCCAGTTCTCTGTTCTGTTCTTTTTTTTTTTTTTAAAGATTTTATTTATTTATTCATAAGAGACCGAAAGAGAGAGAGGCAGAGGGAGAAACAGGCTCCCCGCTGAGTGGAAAGCCCGATGTGGGACTCGATGCCAGGACCCTGGGATCATGACCTGAGCCGAAGGCAGACGCTTAACCATCTGAGCCACCCAGGCACCCTCTCTGTTCTTTTTTTTTTTTTTTTTTTTTTTTTAAAGATTTTATTTATTTTATTTGAGAGAGAGAGAATGAGAGACAGCATGAGAGGGAGGAGGGTCAGAGGGAGAAGCAGACTCCCCGCCGAGCAGGGAGCCCGATGCGGGACTCGATCCCGGGACTCCAGGATCATGACCTGAGCTGAAGGCAGTCGCTTAACCAACTGAGCCACCCAGGCGCCCTCTGTTCTTTTCTTACATGACATCTCTTGGCGTTGGAGGAACAACTTCACTCCCTCCCTGGAAACACTGCGTTCACTGGGCTTCTAGATCACCTACTTTCCTGGGGGTCCTGCTTTCACACACTGCTCCTTCTCAGTTCCATTCCCCTCTCCCTCCGAGTGTCAGAATAACACCCCCAACACACCATCCTGGGTCAGAGCAGACACTTCTCTCTTCCATCTGCCTCACTCCCTAAAAGAGCTCATTCAGTCCCATGGCTTTAAATGTCAGTTTCATGCTTATGACCCCCACATGTATCCCTACAGCCCTGGCTCTCTCTTCCAGCGAAGGTTTGCAGAGTCATCCCCTGCATGGGTCTCCATTTGGTTATCTAATAGTTTGGACTGAACGTGTCCAAACCTAAATTCCCAATCCAGCCACTGCTAAGCATCTCCTCCCCAGATGATGGCCATCTTATTAAATGGCATCACCCTTTGTTGCACTTAGGCCAAAACCTAGGAGTTTTGTGATTCCTCTCTTTTTCACACAACCCTAATCTAATTTATCAGCAAGCTGTTCGGTTCTAGTTTTAAACATTATCTTGAATCTGACTACCTCTGCTCTACTCTGCTAGCAGCTTAGTTGTCTCGTATCCACCTCCCACCCCAAGGTACTCCTCCGTAGCAGCCAGAGCGGTTTTCTAGAAATACATTCGATCATGTCACTCTCCTACTCAACACGATCTGTCAGGTAGGGTTGTTTCGGCTGCAAAAAACATAATTTCTTATGTTGTCTTCCAAGGGAGAAAGTTTGCATATTCCAGATAGGTAGGTAGGTAGGTAGATAGGTAGGTAGAAATTATGTCCTTTAAAAAAAAGAAATCATGCTATATATACTGTTTTTTACTTAGGATATCATGGAGATCTTTCAGTGTTACCACTTTTTTTTCACCTTCCTTTTTTATTTTATTTTATTTTATTTTTTAAGATTTTATTTATTTGACAGAGAGAGAGCACAAGCAGGGGGAGCAGCAGAGGGAGAGGGAGAAGCAGACTCCCCACCAAGCAAGGAGCCTGATGTGGGGATCATGACCCCAGCCGAAGACAGACGCTTAACCGACTGAGCCACGCAGGCACCCCTTATGATTTAAAAAAATTTTTTTCGGGGCACCTGGGTGGCTCAGTCGTTAAGTGTCTGCCTTCAGCTCAGGTCATGATCCCAGGGTCCTGGGATCGAGCCCCGCATCGGGCTCCCTGCTCAACCAGGAGCCTGCTTCTCCCTCTCCCACTCTCCCTGCTTGTATTCCCTCTCTAGCTGTCTCTCTGTGTGTGTCAAATAAATAAATAAAATCTTTAAAAAAAAATAAAACTAAAATAAAATAATAAATTTTTTTTTCTTTTTTAGAAAGAGAGAGAGAGCGCTTGAGTGGGTAACAGGGAGGGAGAGGGGCAGAGGGAGAGGGAGAATCCTAAGCAGGCTCCAAGCCCAGTACAGAGCCTGACACAGGGCTCCGTCTCATGACCCTGAAATCAACTGAAACCGAGTCGGATGCTCAATTGACTATGCCACCCAGGCACCTATACATATTTTTTTACTAGGAGTTTTAAAAATTAAGATTGAATGTTGGATTTTGTCAAGTTACTTTTCAGTAGCTTTATATGATCATATGGTTCCTGTCCTTTGACCTATGAATAGTGACTTTATATCCTAATATTAACCCATTCTTACATTTTGGGAATGAACTCCCATTTGGTCCTGGTTTGTTCCTCTCTTAATATACTGCAGAATTTGGGCGCCTGGGTGGCTCAGTCGGTTAAGCGTCTGCCTTCGGCTCAGGTCATGATCCCAGGGTCCTGGGATCGAGTCCTGCATCGGGCTCCCTGCTCAGCCGAGAGCCTGCTTCTCCCTCTCCCACTCCCCCTGCTTGTGTTCCCTCTCTCGCTGTCTCTCTCTGTCAAATAAATAAATAAAATCTTAAAAAAAAAAAAAGAAATGGTTTCTCCTTTAAAAAAAAAATATATATACTGCGGAATTCTGTTTGCTAATATTTTATTTAAGATTTTTGTGTCAGTATTCCATAAATGGGACTGGTGTTTACTTGACTTTTATTGTACTGTCTTTACCAGGCTTGGGTATCAGTGGTATGTAGGATCTGTCGAAGAACTTAGAGGCTTCCTTGTTTATGTTCTGAGAAAGCTTGTATCCATCTCCAGTTCTAAATCCTTTCCCAAACTGGTGCCAAAGCCCACGTGCCTAAGTACTGGAGTGACCTTTCTGCTCATGACCCCAGTGTGTCTTGACAGTAGCTCTTCCGTGCCCTTTCTGGGCTGTTCCTCCAGGAAGGCCCCCTCTCTCAGGGGCAGGTTGCTTCTAAGAAATCAGAGTCTTTCCCCTGTGTCATCACTGGGCAGACAGATCAACCTGGTGAACAGTTATTCCCATTATCTTTTCTCTCGTAGCTACCATCTGCTCTTTGCAGTCTTCCAGCATTCTCTTTAAAACCAGCTAAAGTTACTTAGTTTCAGTTCAAAGATGAAATTTTTCTTGGCCAATTTGAATATGGTTGCATCAGCTGTGTTTTAAGCATTTTGGCTTTGGATTTTTCCTTTTGTTTAAAATAGTACAATGGGGGTGATTAGGGCACGATGTTCATTTTCTGCTTTAAAAAAATAAAGTGTACTTTTTATTGTGGTCCTATCTCTTAACAAAAAGAAGAGGCTCAACTCAGAATTTGGCAGACTTACTGCCCTCTCTGAGGCAGGAGAGCCAAGCCAAGGTTGAAGAAAGAAATGATTAAGGATTTTGAGGTTGGGAGGGTTTAGAATTACATGGCCAGGCTGCACACTTCAGAGAATGTATTGGGCTTATTTTCATAGGCTGATGAGTCCAGTTCTGAGGGAGCCAAACCAGTGGACTCGGATTCTCAGTTTGAGAAAATGTCTTCTTTCTTTTCATTCTCTTCCCTTTTTTCTCCTTTCTGTGTTCTCTCCCCTTCCTCCTTTCATCCCTTTCTCCTTTCTTCATTTCTCTAAAGCCCCAGGAAATTAAATGCAAGGACTTGTGCCTTCGATCCTAAAATGGGAAATGAGAAACCCTTAAATGTCAGGAAATTCCAAAGATAAGGTCCCTACAGCAGCACTCACTTGGTTGTGTATGTTCTGTGGCATGTGCTGAATAACTCTTGCAGGAATGCCTTAAAGCCAACATTTAACAAGGAAAGTTACTATTTTGTAAGTGTAAGCAGCATCCTGAATTCACATGTATCTATATGCCCCAAATGTTTGAACTGGAATGCAGATTTTTTTTTTATTATGTTATGTTAATCACCATACTGGAATGCAGATTTTTAATTTTAGTTTAATTTGATCCTATGATGGAGTTTTTAGATCTTTATGAAACCAAATAACGATGTTGACCAAAATTTCAGCTTTTCAACTAATTATTTTGGCATTGTATAGCTTTAGCATAGGACTTGGAGAACTTTTGGAGGATGTGAAACCTTGGTCATTATATGGCTGCCAAATCACATGCCTGCTGTTACTGATTCAACAATTTCCATCTTCTGCAGGACTGACTGGGATCCCCAGAGTCGTCTGGCTGGACAGCATCCCTCAGCTCTTACCCAGTTAGTGGCTAAGTTAACTTACCAGCCACACTGTGGTCTGTCCCTGTCATTATGAGTCTGTCCCAGTCAACATGACATCCATGAGGCAACTCTAACGGCCGTGTCTAAAGACTAAGTGTGGAGGGGCGCCGGGGGGGCTCAGTCGGTTACACGTCTGCTTTCAGCTCAGGTCATGATCCCAGAGTTCTGGGATCGAGCCCCACGTGGGGCTCCCTGCTCAGCTGGGAGCCTGCTGCTCCCTCTCCCTCTGTCACTCCCGCTGCTTGTGCTCTCTCTCTGTCAAATAAATAAATAAAATCTAAAAACAAAACAAAACAAAACACTGAGTGTTTAGGGGCACCTGGGTGGCTCAGTCGGTTAATTGTCTCACTCTTGGTTTTGGCTCAGGTCATGATCTCAGGGTCATGGGATCGAGCCTTGTATTGGGCTCCATGCTCAGCAGGGAGTATCCTGAGATTCTCTCTCTCCCTCTCCCTCTGCCCCTCCCCCCACTTGGGCGTGCACACTACAAGCGAGCTTCAGTTGTCTTTTAAGAAATTATTCTGTCAGGGGCGCCTGGGTGGCTCAGTTGGTTAAGCGACTGCCTTCAGCTCAGGTCACGGTCCTGGAGTCCCGGGATCGAGTCCCGCATCAGGCTCCCTGCTCGGCGGGGAGTCTGCTTCTCCCTCTCCCACTCCCCGTTTGTGTTCCCTCTCTCGCTGTGTCTTTCTCTGTCAAATAAATAAATAAAATCTTTAAAAAAAAAAATTATTCTGTCAAATTGCTTTAAAAGTTTCTCAACACAGGGGCAGCAGCCTGGTTCAACCTGTAGAGCGCGTGACTCTTGATCTTGTGGTCGTGAGTCCGAGCCCCATACTGGGTGTAGAAATTACTTTTAAAAAAAAAAAAAAGCAAAAGAAATTTTTTAAGTTTCTCAACGTTTATTCTCAATTTCTGTACCTGTCGCATTGAAATACCAGCCCTGGTCCACAGATTGCACTTTGAGCACCGCTCCCTGACGCTGCAGAAACCAAGTGGTATCCTGCAAAGAAAGGTCCCAGGAAGCGGTTAGATTTTACCAGAAACTCACTAGTGAGCTTCAGGGAGCCGCTTCAGTAAAGGGATGCATACAGACGCCAGATTGAGAAGATAAAGGGAAGAAAAACCAATGAGGTCCAGTAAAGGAATAGTCAGACAGCCTCAAGCTCGTCCCTCCTCCGCCCGGCCCCCCAACCCACGCCAGTTTAAAATGTTGGCAAGGAAGGTGAGAAATCGCAGAACTACGAGGGTCATTGCTTCCAGTGGAAGTTTTTCTAGGGGAAACCTGTGCGTGTTTAAAGAGGGAAAGAAGCTAGCCGAGAGGAAAAGATTTAAAATGTAAGAAATCCCAGGGGCGCCTGGTGGCTCAGTGGGTTGAGGGTCCGACTCTTGGTCTCAACTCAGGTCTTGGTCTCAGGGTTGTGAGTTTGAGGCCCGCATTGGGTGTGGAGCGTACTTAAAAAAAAACCAAGAAAATAAAATTAAATGCTAGAAACCACCAAAGCGAGGAAGGCAGGCAAATGGCTCCTGCCTGGCACTGCCCTCTCATCACCTGGCACTCACCACCCTGCCCCTGCAGTGCAGCCTTGCCAAATGTGTGTGTCCCTCCACAAATGCACCAAGTTCCCTGTGGCCCTTTCCTTTTCTTGGAACACTCTTCCCCCAGCTGAGGTCTTTCTTCTGTCCTCCAGGTCTCAGCTTTAATGAGTGACTTTGTCAGCACCACCTTCCTGATGCATCCCCAACCTAAAATGAGGCCTCCTTGATAGTCTCACTGTGCTTTTGCATCACTGAGCTTAACACAGTTTACTGTTCTGTTTATTTGTGCATGCTCTGGTTGAATGTCTGTCTTCCTCCCTGGAATGTAAGCTCTTTGAGACAGGGACCCTGACTGTTTCAGTCACTCCTCAGTGATTGAACCCTGAGCACAGTGCCTCTCCCACAATAAATGTTCAACATAAAACATTTGCTACATAAATAATTACTAGCACCACAACAGTAATAGCAATAGCTAACATTTGTTGCGTGTTTGTCAGGTGCTAAGGACTTTACACACGTTCTCATTTCTATTCTTTGGACAATGCTCTGAGATAATTGCTGTTTTTCAAGTCAGGGCACTGAGTTTCAGCCCAGTTAAGTGGTTCGTCTGAGGTTAAAAGGCTTGTGAATGAAGGATCCAGGATCTGTATGCGGGTGTGTTTAATCCCCAGGGGCCAGAGAGACTGGAAGTGTGGGTGAAGAAGTGAAGACATGATACATTTCTCAGTAGTCAGCTAGAGTTTACCATGGAGCATGCAGAGGACACTGGGCTAGATGTGCATGCACAGAGCCACAGGAGGGTTATGACCATCCTCGACCAGGAGAAATGAAGGGCTAGGACCAAGTCACAGCCAGCTGGGGGATGTGCCCTGATGAGTGTGGGCAGACTACGTGTTCACCTAAACGCCATTCAGTGAAAGCCTGTGTGTGTTCAATACAAATTCTTGACAAGTCTGCTGGAGGTAGAAGAGGAGCCTCCTGAGCCCGAGTGGGCAGCGCAGTTCTGCTCCAACTGGGGGTGGTGGGGGAGTTGTGGGTTACTTTGGAGAAGGATAGGGAGAGAGAAGAAAAAAGAGGAGGTGGACTGAACCAGTGAGGTGGCTGAGGTTCTGTGTGTTTCACCATATGGTCTACCTCATGGCCTCCCAAATGTTCAGTGAAGCTACAGAAATCACAGAAACTCAGGGTGAGTGGCTGTGTGTGTATGTGTGTTTGTCTGTGTGTGTGAGAGAGAGAGAGAGAAGGGGCTGGACTTCGCATTAGGTCAGCACCAGCAGCACAGGGACAGCCCCCTGTGGATGTAGGCGGGGGCGATAGCCAGAGAGTGAGCCGGGCCACAGACAGAGAAGTACTTGCACCCATCTCTGAGGGGTGGGGGTGGGGGGCTGGGGTGTCTCAGCTGGCCTCTGGGTTTCGTTCTGATAATAACCACTCAAGTGAGAGAAGTGGGGAGGTGCCCAGGCCTCTCGTCCACTCTGAACTGGCCATCGCTGCTCCTTTCCCATCATGAATGTGTGCTCTGTAAACATTGCAGAATATTTAAGAAGTCCAGAAAAAATGAAAGTGAAGAGAAGCCACAAGCCATTCGTCCTGAGATAGTAGCTGTATATTTCACTTCCTTCCCTTCTTCTTCTTTTCTATGTATATACTTACTTCCGAAGTTGGGATTGTACTTTATATATATATATACTTTGCTACCTTTACTCGGCATAACATAATAAACATTCTTCCAAATAAAGCCACACTTCTTATTTAAGGATTTTTATACCTTCTTACAAGAAACAGAGTTGATTTCAGTAATAGAAATTTTTGCAGGAAGAAAATTGTTTGGTATACAATCTCTGGACCAGCCTAATTTGATTCGAGTTCTTGTTTGTTTTTCTCCCATCTTGTACAAACCAGAAAGTCCTATGAGTTTGAAGACTTACTGCAGTCTTCCTCTGAGAACAGCAGGGTGGACTGGTATGCACAGACTAAGTTGGGGCTTACACGCACTTTATCAGAGGAGAACGTCTATGAAGACATTCTAGGTAAGAGGCCCACGTGCAGTGTGTGGGGATGAGTTTGTCTGTGAGAAAGGGGAGAGTGCTTGAAGCGCACACACACACACACACACACACAGTCTTGAAGATGTGTACGCAGATGAATGAGACAGCTGGGAAGGGTGTGGGAGGGGGACCCACGAGGGACATGTGAGAGCATGGGGCCAGAAGGGGAGTGGAAAGGCTGCTGAGGAACAGCCACGGGGGCAGCACAATGCAGCGGGACACACTGGAGACATGGAGTCTCGGTGGCCGTGATTGAATCTCGACTCTGCTCTATTGATGCTCGTATGATAACGAGCTGGGGACTGAACTTTACTGAACTTCGGTTCTCTCATCTGTATAATAAGGATGATGACAGCTACCTGGTAGGGTGGGAGATGGGAGAGAATGGGATGTAAAGTACCTCGTGTGTCACAGATGCTCAGTAAAGTGTAAGGATTACTGAATGAAGGAAAACTCGGGCCACCACCCTCTCCCGGAATCTGTAGGAGTGTGGCTGGCAGTAACAGGGCATCAAAATTCAGACTCAAATGAATGTCTACTATTAAAACATAATGTTGGCCTTAATTCTTTTAAATTCTAAAGTGGAGCTCAGATTCACAGAGTTTGTTTGCGTTTAAATTAGTGAGTCAAATACTCTGTAGGGAACATCACAGTTTCACTGAAGTGTGAACTCAGCCCAGCATCTGCTTGTTGGGGTCGAAGGCGGTGAGTCGGGGAAGAAAGGAGCTGGTAAGAAGGAGAAACCCATATGCGACCACATGCAAGGGGCAGGTAGGGCATATACACACATGCATATGTGCATGTAATCACCAATAGCAGAGAAAAAACTCCATGGTGGGAGGAAACATGAGACCTGAAGAAGGCGCTTATTTAGCTGAGCTATGAATTTCACCATAGATGATCTGAATTATAGTATCCAGGTTGTGGAGATGGGTTGCTGCCAAAGTAGTAGGCTTCCCAAGTCCGAAGTGGGTATGAGATCTGGTCTTCAGTGTGTACCTGACAGGGAAGCTCTCAGAGACAGAGAACAGAAGACCCCGCTGAAATAACAAGGGAGTTTGTTGGCTTATATGACCAGAACTGGCCTGTTCTCCCCGTTTCTTATCTCTTGGGTTGGTTCCATGCCCAGCAGGTTTCTCATGATCTCCATGACGGCCGCCATCAGCTCCCTGGGATCTGTACCTTTTGGTTGGGAAGGAGAGCCCGTGTCCTGTACCCAACAAAAATCCAGGGGTTCACTGTGACTCTGACTCTGACGAGACCGGTTTAGGTCCCTTGTTCACCTTCGTAGCCCAGGAGTGCCATGCCTTGATTGGCGTAAGCTTGGGATAGGAGCCCTTCCCTGAACTGGACACTGAGGCAGGGACTGGGGATACTCAGATTGGCTAAAGCACTGCAACTCAGAATGGAGTTAACTCTGTACATCTAAGAATGAGGACATGGGAAGTTACCCCAGTAAAAATCAGGGTCCAAGAGGAAGGGGATGAATGGATAGCAAGACATCAGACATCCCCACAAGGAGAGACCAAGATATTGGGTAGATATCTGATAAGGAAAACTTCCTTAATGTTCCCAGTTCCTGACTTGTTTCCTCTGACCACAGATCCGCCAATGAAGGAAAACCCTTACGAGGACGTTGACTTACATGGTCGCTGCCTGGGGAAGAAATGTGTCTTGACCTTTCCTGGTTCTCCCACTTCTTCCATTCCTGACACACCCTCCAAGGTATGAGTCCCCAGGGGAGCAGTGTGGGGAGAGGGGTCCCCAGCACGATGGCCCTGAGCAGCCTGGAGTTCTGGGTTACGCTGGAATGCCAGGCCACCCTCACTGCTGGGCTCCTGGATGTGCATATCAGCTGCCTGCCTGCTCTTCTGCCTCTAGTTTTCCTGGAACCCCTCTGCTCAACCAAGCATCCTAAAATAATATTTTAGCTTCTGGGTCAAACTGAGTAAATAAGATAGTACACCCATATTATACAACTATAAAGAAGAATGTCCTGACCTAAAACAAAGTCTAAAATATAAGACTGAAAGTTCTGGTGCAGAAACAGTACTTTTATAGCATGCTACCATTTGTGGGGTTTTAAATAGAAAAATACACATATATGCCAACTCATATATGTTTGTGTATGTAGAAGATTATCTCTGTACGGAAACCTAAGAATGAGTAAGTGGCTACATCTGTGGAGTTGTTGAGTCCAGGTCAAGGTAGAAAACTGACATTTTTTACAGAATATCCTTTTGAACCTTTTGGAATTTTGTACTATGTACATAGAGATAATACAACTATAGTCATGTACATGATAATTTCAACGCTTTGCCTATAAGTCTGAGTTCATATTCCTTAGCTTGGCATTAAATAATCCTTCATAACTGATCCCTGGGCACCCATTACTATTGAATTTCCTACATTTCCTACATACAAAACTCCCCTCCAGCAAGAGCCAATTAATTGCCCCTCTCATATTAGAGGCCCAGGATTGGCAAACGTTTCCTCTAAAGGACCAGAAAGTAACTAGAGAATCTCTGTTGTAACGACTCAGTGCTGCCATTTTGCTGCAAAGCAGCCATAGACAATGTGAGACAATATGCAAACCAGTGAATGTGCCGTGTATCAATAAAACTTTATTTATGGACACCAAAATTTGAATTTTGTGTAATTTTCACATCATGAAATATTACTTATTTTCTAATCATTTGAAAATGTTTTAAAGATTTTGTTTATTTGAGAGAGAGAGTATGAGCAGGGCGGAGGGATAGAGGAAGAGGGACAAGCAGACTCCCCGCTGAGCAGGGAGCTCGACATGGGGTTCGATCCCAGGAGCCTGGGATCATGACCTGAGCCGAAGGTAGATGCTTAACCAGCTGAGCCACTCAGGCGCCCCTCCAACCATTTAAAAATGTAAAAACTGTTCTTAGGTCATGGCCTGTATAGAAACAGATGGTGGGCCAGATACGCCCCACAGGTTGTATTTTGCCCACCCCTGTGCTAGGTCATTTCTACGTCTGCCCTTGGTTCTTGCCTTTCTCTCCCCATCCTTTAGCACCCAGATCAATCACTTCAGAAAGCTTCTAGGCTATTCCAGCCCCTGGAACTTCTTCCTCTCTTCCTCAGTGGGCCAAAGTGTTCATTTTATACCAAATTGTGTATACCACATTGTGATATCTCTTACTTTGATGATTTGAAATCTGATTTAAGTCATAGAATGTATCTTAAAAACATCTCCCCAGCTACATTATGAATTCCTCAAGTTCCTCAATAATATGTTTCTTTGTGTCCCCTATACATAGTTGTTATACAATGTGTAGTTGTTCAAGAAATTAAGTAAAGGAAGGCCAAATCCAGGCTGCAAGTATCAGTTTAAATCCCACTGCAGGGATCTATTTCCAGCCTAAGAAAGGAAGCCACGTTCCCCTCTGGGCCCCAGGTGAGGACAGCATTTCCTGGCGTGGGGGGTCTGCGCAAGAGGCATGCCTTTTGGGCTCAGTGGTCTCACACAGAGTCTTTCTGCCACAAGTCTTCCTGAAGAGAGTTGAAGGTAGAATCCATCATGAAGGGTGGATCTCACCTAACCAAACCAATTCCTGTCATTCTTGCCAAAGCCAGTTAACTGCTATTTTGCTCTTCCTATGAAAGAGTGTTCTCATGAATAATCCAGCACAACAGATCATTAGCAGACAGTTCCTACTTGCCTCTGAAATGTGTTTTCATTGGCTACAGATGCCTTCAACATTCAGGAAATCTTTCATTTACCATAGTGGATCAGCTTGGCTTAACAGAAGGAAGGCTGTCACAACTCGGTCTGCCCCTTCACGTCCCACCTCGCTTTCCCCTGCTCTCCCCTTCGTGCTGGGAAGGCACTGCTCACCTCTTAGGAACAATGAGCAACATCTGCCCACAGCAGCTGTGCGCTCCGAGCCGGGTGCTCCTCCCTAATGCCAAGAACAAGGACTTAACAGCCCTTTTCTTCCCCTTCCTGCCAAGCTAGAGCAAATCCCGGTCCTCTGTCACCAGAACAGCTAAACACAGTAGGTAACCACGTCAAGAAGAGCTTGAGGTCCAGATGCAGCGATCCTGCAGAAGGACAATCCGGTTACCCAGGGTGCGTGTCCGATTGCCACCGATACATGCAGGCTGCTTTCAGCCCTTCACAAGTCATCAGCAGGACACGGTGTCCACGCTCGTTCCTCTGCTCTCCCACGTCTGGGTGTCTGGTTGGTGCCCCCATTCTGGGGGACAGCTGCAGACTTCACCACTTCCTCTGTTTAGCTCATCAAATATTCATGGAGCGTCGGCCGCATCTGGGCTACATCTGGGACCTTAGACTTTACCGAAGCAGTCCCTCTGTGGCGACCTCCTCTGTCAGTCTCCAAAAGATCCTATGACATCTTTTGGGATTTTCATTTAATAAGATCGTGCCCAGTCCCAGTACAGAGGTCAGGGTCAGCTGGACAGACAGAAAGGAGCAGTTGTGCAGTTGGGGGCAGATGCTAATGCTTATCGACGCACAATGCAAGCTCCTGAGAAGGGACCATTTTCTTTCCTTGCTTTTTGTTACCCACCATTCCCACACCTAGAATAGCACAGTAAATGTGGTAGGAACTAATTTTTATAATAAAGGAAATCTAGGCTAACACGAGACTTTTTTTTTAAGTGGGTTCCACGCCCAGCATAGAGCCCAATGTGGGGCTTGAACTCACGACACTGAGATCAAGACCTGAGCTGAGATCAAGAGTCAGACACTTAACCGACTGAGCCACCCAGGCGCCCTGAAGCATTTTCTTTCTTATGTACTGACATGGAAGACATTAGGGAACAAAACGTATCACTAACTAGCATTCTCTGGTTGCCTGGAGAGCCCACCCACACCATCTCCCACCAAAAAATCGTACATCACTTAGCTGTAGCTACAGAGAGGCAGTTATCTGGTCAAGTGTGCAAGTTCTAGAGTCTTGACGGCCTGCATTCAGAACTTGCCTAGACCACTTGCTAACTGTGTGGCCAGGCAACTGATCTCATCTACATGTGTCAGCTTTGTCATTGATAAAATAGAAACAATTATAGTACTCTCCTCTTAGGGGTCTTCTGAAGATTAATTCATATTTGTAGGGACTTCTGGGTGGCTCAGTTGGTTAAGTGTCTGCCTTTGGCTCGGCATGATCCCTGGGTCCTGGGATCGAGCCCCACGTCAGGCTCCCTGCTCAGCGGGGAGTCTGCTTCTCCCCCTCCCAGTGCTTGTGCTCTCTTTGTCAAATAAATAAATAAAATCTTAAAAAAATAATTCATACTTATAAACCACTTAGTCTAGTACCTGTAACATAAGTACTATTTCTGTGCGTTTGGTAAATATAGAGAATTAGGCTTTTCATTTTATGTTCTTTTTAAAAATACCCTTATTTCGGGCGCCTGGGTGGCTCAGTTGGTTAAGCGACTGCCTTCGGCTCAGGTCATGATCCTGGAGTCCCTGGATCGAGTCCCACATCGGCCTCCCTGCTCAGCAGGGAGTCTGCTTCTCCTTCTGACCCTCCCCGCTCTCATGCTCTCTCTCTCTATCTCATTCTCTCTGTCAAATAAATAAATAAAATCTTTAAAAAAAAAAAATAACCTTATTTCATCTTATCACAGCATTCTCATCACAAAAGGTGTTTTAGGGGTGCCTGGGTGGCTCAGTTGGTTAAGCACCTACCTTCAGCTCAGGTCATGATCCCGGAGTCCCAGGATCGAGCCCCATGTCCAGCTCTCTGCTCAGTGGAGAGTCTGCTTCTCCCTCTGACACCCCCTTCTCATGCTCACTCTCTCTGTCTCAAATAAATAAACAAAATTTTTTTTAAAAGTTTTTTTAAATACTGAAAAGTGTAATGAAGAATATAAAACTCATCCAAAATTGGGGATTTTTTTTTCTATAATGAATTGTTAGTGTGCATGTGTGTGTGTGTGTGTGTGTGTGTGTGTACATAAAAAAGACTTGGGGCGCCTGGGTGGCTCAGTTGTTAAGCGTCTGCCTTCGGCTCAGGTCATGATCCCATAGTCCTGGGATCGAGCCCCGCATCCGGCTCCCTGCTCGGCGGGAGGCCTACTTCTCCCTCTCCCACTCCCCCTGCTTGTGTTCCATCTCTTGCTGTGTCTCTCTCTGTCAAATAAATAAAATCTTAAAAAAAAAAAGACTTGGGATGATATAGATATACTTTTGCTGGTCTTTTATATTTATCCTGAGTATTTCCCCACATCATTAATTTCTTTTTAAAAACAATTTTTATTGTCTGTATGGTATTTCATTGTTTAAATGTAATGTTTTTCTTTACATTAGTATAATGTCCCAATTGTTGAAATGTGCATGTATGCCTTCTTATGTATTTCTATGTGTGTTTATGGAAATATGTGTACCTGTGGACGTATATGAAAAATGTGTATATGCTTGTGAGAATGACACCTGAGTCCTTGGAGGAGGCCTCTGTAAAAGAGAGTAGGGGGGCACCTGGGTGGCTCAGTCGTTGGGCGTCTGCCTTCAGCTCAGGTCGTGATCCCAGCGTCCTGGGATCGAGCCCCGCATTGGGCTCCCTTCTCTGCAGAAAGCCTGCTTCTCTCTCTCCCACTCCCCCTGCTTGTGTTCCTGCTCTCACTCTCTCTCTCTGTCAAATAAATAAATAAAATCTTAAAAAAAAAAAAAAAGAGTAGGAATGAGGTTGAGAGAGGTAAGGAAGAGATGAGATATTTTGTATCAAGGACCCTTTTAGTCTCCTTACATCACTGTTTCCTGAGGCAATAAGACAGGGACAATGCAGGACAGGAAGGAGTTAAGCCATCAGCCACCATTCTCAGACGAGAAGGGTGAGTGAACCCTGGCTTAAGTCCAGGTCAGCTCCCTCTAGGGAGGCACGTAGTTTCCCTCTCCTCCCCACCAGGAAGCCCCCTGGCCAGGGCCCATCCCACTCGGTTCCCTGAAAGAACTCATGAAGTTTCAACAGAGAGTTCTTGTCTGCTTTTCTTTCTTGGACACCACAGATCTTTTGCTGGGTCCATCGTGAATCCAATATTTATAAGATTAGGGAGACTCTATTTGCCTCTGCAACAAAGTCAGGCCCCTTCCTAGAGGTTGTTCCACAGAGACACAATGGGAATGGGCATATATTATCATCATGAGGCTTTCTGATCAAAAGCTGGAATCCTCTCTGGGCCACAGCCTGACATAATCATCCCTAGGGTCCTATAGTATCTTTCCTTTTAATACTATATTCAGGTTTGGCAAACTACTGCTGGGTGACTGGTTGTGTAAATAAAGTTTTTCTGGAACATGGCCACGCTCATTCACGTACATATTGTGTATGGCCGCCTTTGCAATGCAGTGGCGGAGTTGAGTAGTTATGACAAAGCCTAAAATATTTACCGTCTGGCCTTTAAGAAAAAGCTGGCTGCCCCCTGCTAAGTCTAAGAGTCACACCCTCACTTGCAAAGGCCTTGCACGGACAGTTCGATGCCATCATTGCTGTATGATCTCCATCTGTTTCGCTACACTCGCTCTGAGCCACGAGCACTCTCTCTGGCCTAATTTTTTTTTAAAGATTTTATTTATTTATTTGTCAGAGAGTGAAAGGACACAAGCAGGGGGAGCGGCAGGCAGAGGGAGAAGCAGGCTCCCCGTGGAGCAGGGAGCCCGATGTGGGACTCGATCCCAGCACCCTGGGATCACGACCAGAGCCAAAAGCAGACACTTAACCGACTGAGCCCCCCAGGCGCCCCCTGGGCTAATTTGCTCTTCCTCACTTCCATGCCTCTTCTCAGATTGTGCTGTCTACTTGAGAACGCTCTACCCCCAGAACCCAGTAGGTCCTCTGTTACCAGTTAAGCAGCAACTGAAATTCCACCCCCTCATGAAAGCTCCCTGGACATTTGGGGGCTACCACCAGGACCCCGTTCTCTGGCAATGTCACCATGGAGGGGATGCAGCCCACACAAACCCAGCCCCCACCAGGTCTCTGGAAACCCTTTCGAGAGCTGTGTGCCATGTTTTGATATCTTTCTGTTTTCTTTCTTCTCAGACCTTTTCATAGGTCAAATCTTTGAACAGACACTCTCACAACCTAAAAGTCTAATGAAAACAGATAACTGCTTTTTGCCAAGAATTTGATAGGTGATTCTAATGCAGTGAAAGAATTGGGGCCATTCCTTGGATTTCACTGCAGATGGAATTTGGTCTATAAGAAAGATGGTCGTTCTTCCTTCTTTTTGTGCTGGTTTAATTATTAAGATGCCCATAGTGAGCAAACCATACTGGCTTTTTTTAATTTTTTTTAAGATTTTATTTATTTGTCAGAGAGAGAGAGCACAAGCAGGGGGAGAAGCAGGCTCCCGGCTGAGCAAGGAGCCCAATGTGGGACTCAATCCCAGGACCCTGGGATCGTGACCTGAGCCGAAGGCAGACACTCAGCCGACTGAGCCACCCAGGCGTCCCCATACTGGCTTTTTCTACTTAGGGCTTGTGGTGCTAAGCAATTGATTGCTCCTTGTAGACTCATGATACAAACATCAGAGCAGGCCACTTAGGAAGGCTAGGAGTCTTTATTCCCAGAAATCTTTGAAAAGAAAAGGTTCTGGAGTTATTGTTATATACTATTCGGAACTATACAAGAATTGAGAAATCAGTGGAACAGAATAAGACTATTCTATAAGAGTTTAAGATGTAATAGATGTGGCCTTGTAAACTGATAGCAAAAGGCTCATTTATTAAACGGAATAGGGATAACTTAGCTTGGGGGGAAAAATCACTTTAGACTAACATACAATAAAATAAATTACTGATGGATTAATGAATAAAATATGTTCAAAATAGACTAAGAAAATCCAAAAGAAAATGGAATTAAGTACGTGTTAAACCTCTAAAAAGATATAGATTTTCTAGAGAGACAAGATTAAATCAATTGCACAAGAAAAGATGAACAGATTTTCATATATAAAAATTTCACATGATCCAAAAAAAAAAATACCATGGGAAAAACACACCTGCAGCAAAACTGACAAATAGTTCATATCTGTTCTATATAAAGAGATCATTCAAATTAATAAGAAAAACCCTGGGATTCCAAAAGATAAATGGGCAAAGAACATAAATAATATACTAAAGAGGGCTACCTGGGTGGCTCAGTCGGTTAAGCATCTGCCTTCAGCTCAGGTCATGATCCCAGGGTTCTGGGATCGAGCCCTCCATCAGGCTCCCTCATGGGGAGCCTGCTTCTCCCTCTCCCTCTGCCCCTCACCCTGCTTGTGCTTTCTCTCAAATAAATCAATAAAATCTTAAAAAAAATAATGTGCTAAAGAAAAAAGCAGTTAGCATATTAAAGTATGAAAAAATGTCCATTTTATGAGAAAAACTTATATATATATATATATATATTTTTTTTTTTTTTTTTAAGATTCCTACAGGTGGAATTGCTGGGTGAAAGGGTGTATGCGTTTGTAATTTTGTTGATACTGCTCCATTGCCTTCCATAGACCTGTACCAATTTCTAGTCCTACCAACATTGTATGAAAGTGTGAAAGGGACTATTTCCCTCACTGTCACTAATCCAGTGAGTTCCACTAATCCAGCAAATTTATCTTTGCTAATCTTTGAGTGAAAAATGTCTCTTTGATAGAGTTTTAATTTTCTCTTATGAGTGAAGCTGAGAATCTTTTTCTATATCTACGCATCACTGTATTTCTTTTTCTATAAATTTTCCATTCCTCTTTTTTTTTTTTTGCCTGTTTGTCTTCATTAATTTATAGTATGTATTAGAAAAATAAGTTCTATAAGTTGCAGGGTTTTGGGGGTTTTTTTGTTGTTGTTGTTGTTTTTTTTAACCAGTTTTCTGTTTGCCTTTGATCTTAAAGTAGCTCATTTTTAGAAATTAAACACTGAGCCTTAGGGATTGAAACTCCTTGTACAAGAGGTACTCAGCTTATCAGCAGCAGGGTCAAAGCTCTGCTTAGGTTTTCTCCCTCCCAATACAGTGGGTCTTGGTTCTCAGAACACCTGATTTGTACAGATAAGGGACTGAGCCAGTGAATTCCCACTTGTCTAAAAAGAGAGACTGGATTGGGGGTGCCTGGGTGGCCCAGTCGGTTAAGCGTCTGCTTTTGGCTCAGGTCATGATCCCAGGGTCCTAGGATCGAGCCCCACGTCGGGCTGCCTGCTCAGTGGGGAGTCTGCTTCTCTCTCTCCCTCTGCCCCTCCACCCTGCTCATGCTCTCTCAATCACTCTCTCTCTCTCTCCCAAATAAATAAATAAAATCTTTAAAAAAAAAGGAGGGAGAGAGACAGGATTGGATCTGCATCCTTTAGCAGAGACAAACTCAGCATACCCTGGGAAGAGAGACCAAGCTTTCCCTCTCGATCTCCTGGTCCGTATCACTGGCACCCCCAGCTATCTCCCCCTTAGGCCCTTTGTATTTACTCTTCTTTTCTCCTTTCCCCTCCCAGCAGTCGTTGGCCAAACCTGCTTTTTTCCGGCAAAATTCAGAGAGGAGGAACTTCAAATTGCTGGACACCAGGAAGCTGAGTCGGGATGGATATGGGTCCCCTTCCAAAATCAGCCCCCCCTCCACCCCCAGCAGCCCTGATGACACTTTCTTTAACCTTGGAGACCCACAGAATGGCAGGAAGAAGAGAAAGATACCCAAGGTAAGGCTTGCAACAAGCTTCGTATGCAGATTTGCACTCCCCCTTCCCTGCAAAGGAAGGCTGCAGAGGAGTCTGGGCAGAGAACAGAATCCTGGGCCTCTTCTACCTGCTTTATCACCAGGTAGACACCATGAGCCAGCGGCTGGGCTGTCTGGGCCTTTGTCATAATAATTCTTTTTTTTTTTTTTTTTTTAAAGATTTTATTTATTTATTTGAGACAGAGAGAATGAGAGAGAGAGAGCACATGAGAGGGGGGAGGGTCAGAGGGAGAAGCAGGCTCCCCACCGAGCAGGGAGCCCGATGTGGGACTCGATCCCGGGACTCCAGGATCATGACCTGAGCCGAAGGCAGTCGCTTAACCAACTGAGCCACTCAGGCGCCCTGTCATAATAATTCTTGTGGTCCTGTAGCCTTCCCCTTAGCCATTCCTCTCCCAGCCTAACCTCTCACTATACTCGGCGATCCCAGACCATGTTTCCAATGCCCGCCTCAAAAGGCCAGTTCCTCCTCCTTCCCGGCCTCAAAAAGTAGAGCTCCATTCATCACACTCTGACTCACACTTTGGCCAACACCAGCTGCAGAGGCGGTACCATGTGGAGCCTGTGCTCTGAGGCGGCACTTGTCAAAAATACATCTTTCCTGGCTCTTTTCAACTCAAAAGGTAAAACATGCCCAGGGGCAGATGTGCATCCTCATACGTCTGCTATTGATTGGATTCCCTTTTGCTCCGTTCCAGCCCTGCTGTGCTGGTCCCTCTTCAGTGGCCACTTTGGTACCAACTTCCGACGGGAACTTCTAGAGCAGGGATTCTTCATTTCAGAGTACATGGATGGATGGATGGATGGATGGGATTTAGGGGTCACGAAACCTGGAAAATTGTGTAAGACTTTGTGTGGAGCATTTTGGGGGATGGAGGCAAGAGGGGAATATTGTCTGTTAGGTTTCATCTGATTTCTCAAAGTGATGCATTGACCTGAAAGTCATGGGACGTTTACGAGCTGGTTCCTCCTAACAGTTTGGTTAGTCAATATTTTGAGCTATAATTTCACCCCTACCACACCCGTCCCCAACTTTCTCATTCAAATGAAGTTAAGTCACTTGCCCATCAGAATGCATTCTGAAGAGTAAGGGCGGCTAGGGTCAGGTGGTTGAGAAAAGACCTGTAACCTGCAGCCTGGTCAGGGTTTTAGTTGAAACAGGAGAAAAGATGTCTTCCTTTGTTTTGCTGATGAAGGGCAGACAAAGGGGCTAGGACAGGAGCCACGGCTCCTCCCCCTTCAGGCTCTCCAGGTTCGGCCTCGTCTGGCCTGGGCCCAGGGTGTGGAGCGGGTTGCATATTGATTATTTGATGTTTGCTGAATGAGCTCCACTAACACATGGACCCCCATCTCTTTCAGCACAGATTCACTCCCATGTCTCCCCTCGGCTGTCCTCCAAAGTCGCTGTCCTGTGCCATCGTGGTAGCTGCTCCAGGGGCCCCCAAAGTGTGGTGTCTCTAGCCACTCCCTTAACTCCCCTTCTGCTTGTTCTGGCACATTCCTAGGTATCTGTAATGTCAAAATCCTCAATTGTGGGATAATTTAAAGTGGCCATTAACATCTCTACTGCCAACCTCACCATCGTTTTAGCAAATTAAACAGGGATGATCAGGTGAATTAGCTGTTGCGTTAAAAGAGCTTTAACACAATTCTAGGTTTGAGTACATGATTCTTTTTTTTTTTTTAAGATTTTATTTATTTATTTGAGAGAGAGAAAGCACATGGGAAGAAGGGCAGAGGGAGAAGGAGAATCTCAAGCAGACTCCCTGCTGAGTGTGGAGCCCAGCATGGGGCTGGATCCCATGACCATGAGATCATGACCTGAGCTGAAATCAAGAATCGACACTTACGGACACCTGGGTGGCTCAGTCGGTTAAGCGTTTGCCTTCGGCTCAGGTCGTGATCCCAGGGTCCTGAGATCAAGTCCCACATAGGGCTCCTTGCTCGGTGGGGAGCCTGCTTCTCTCTCTGGCTCTGCCCCTCCCCCTGCTTGTGCACTGGCTCGCTCGCTCTCTCTGTCAAAATAAATAAAATCTTTAAAAAAAAAAAAAAGAATTGACACTTAACCGCCTGAGCCATCCAGGTGCCCCCTAGTACAGAACACTTGTAAAACAACGAAACTTAACTCCTGTTAAAGTATAATTATGTGAGAGCATGTTTAAAGTTCTTCTCTCTGGGAAAAATCTTTTAAATAAAAAGGAACAGAGATTTACTGACTGAAGTGTACATGGCTTCCACTTACTCCATGACCTGATTTAAAGTGAGAAGAACCTTCTCTGTCATGTCATTTGTACTACTCACACAGCACTCATGAATTGTCTTGTATGATAGCTATGAATGCATCTTGGTCCTTGCAATTAGCTTATAAACTTCCTGAGAACAGATGCCATGCTCCATATATCTTTTTACCCCTCACAGCTTCTAGCAAAACCCCTTGTGCATAGGGGATGCTTAGTATTCATCCAACAAATTCACTATCAACAAATACTTGTTGAGTCCCTACCAGGTGCCAGGCGCTGTCCCAGCCCATACAGGTACTCTTACAGCAACGAACAGAAGTGACAGAGATCCCCACCTGCATGGAGCTTACATTCTAGTGTTCACTATATTTTAGTAAGTGGAAGGATGTTAACTGTATTGTAGCTGTCTTCTTTCTAGTTAATTTTGGATATTGGGTGAGAGGAGGCTGAATGGGTTTAAAAATCCCCCCCCCCGCAAAAAAAACACAATTTGACCTAGTTAACTCATTTGTTTATTTATATATTTTTAAATTGTGGTAAATATGTACAACATAAAAATTGCCATTTTTACCATTTTTAAGTGCACAGTTCAGTAGCATTAAGTACATTTACACTGTTATACAACCATCACCAGCATCCATCTACAGAACTCTTCATCTCCCCAAACGGAAACTCTGCACCCCGTTAAACCCTAACTCCCCATTCCGCCCTCCTCCCCAGCCTCTGGCAACCATCATTCTACTTTCTGTCTCTTTGAATTTACCTATTCCAGGTACCTCATATAAATGAAATCATATAATATTTGTCTTTTTGTGACTGACTTATTTCTCTTAGCAGAACATTTATGCTTTAGCATGTGTCCAAATTCCCTTCCTTTTGAAGGCTAAATAATGTGCCATTGTATGTACGTACCACATTGTGCTTACCCATTCATCCTTTAATCGACATTTGGATGTTTTCACTTCCTGGCTATTGTGAATAATACCAGCATCTCATTTATGCATTGTCTTCTTCCGTGGGAAATGGGGTTAGCATTAATACTCCAATGGTTAGGACGTGTGTAAAAAGAAAAGAGAGCCAGTTCAGGGCTATGAGCTCTCAAGGAAATGGCTGGTTCGTAAGAACAAATATAAATAACTGCCGCACGGGAGGGGTTTGGTGGTGAAGGCAGAGATCGTTCAGATAAGGCAAAGCCAGCGCAGGGCTGGGGACAAGGAATTCACAAAGAGAGCTGGCAAGGCCAGGGCTGGGCCACCTGTCAGGACCCAGAGTGTGTAGGTGTCCAACGATATGGCAGGGCAATGTCTTACCAGTTGCAGAGCTGGAGGACCAGGGCCCAGGCCCACCACAAGGAGATGTGGAGGATGAGCCACCTTCCTCCACTGGCGGTCCGTCGCTCTGGCTTGTGGGGAAGAGCTGGTGAGCTACTTCAGGGAGTGGGACAGAGAAGTGGAGGGCAGAGCCAGGGAGTGGCACCAGCTAACCCACCGCACCCGCCTGCGTGCCCATCACCCAGTTTACTATAACACATCCTCTCTCCAGTTCTTCCAATGCCAAAAAGAATATAAAACTTTTTAAGGCAGCTTTCAAACACAGCTCCCCTTTATTTTTTTATTTTTTTAAAGATTTTATTTATTTATTTGACAGAGAGAGAGAGCGAAAGAGGGAACACAAGCAGGGGGAGTGGGAGAGGGAGAAGCAGGCTCCCCGCTGAGCAGGGAGCCGGATGCGTGGCTCCATCCCAGGACCCTGGGATCACGACCTGAGCTGAAGGCAGACGCCCAATGACTGAGCCATCCAGGCGCCCCCACTGTTTTTTTAAGATTTTATTTAAACACAGCTCCCCTTTAAAATCACCTGTTGGGGGCTCACTAGGAGGAGCATGTGGCTCTTGATCTCGGGGTCATGGTTTTGAGCCTCACGTTGGGTGTAGAAATTACTAAAGAAAATAAACTTTAATTAATTAATTAATTTAATTAAAATCATTGGCTTGCCTTGACTATGCATGGGTAGACTTCCCCTTCTCGCAATCAGGTGGGGCCCAGGGAGCTTCCACTCTTGAAATTTGCAGGCGGTGCTGGAAAGCCTGGTGGGTAGTGACCCGGGGTTTCGGTGGGAAGTGACCGGGGTTTCCGTGGCAGATGGGTCTGCTAGAGTCAGCGTGGAAAATGTGCTGCTGAGTAGTGGTGCCTGCTGAGCAGTAGGAGAGATCACCAAAGGCCTCCATGAGTGTGGATGAGCGCTCCCCTGCAAGAAGGGGGGTGTGCTGCGTCTGCTGGGTGCAGGGCACCACCATGCAGCCCCAAGCTAGAACTCGAAATCCACCATAAGCCCTGCCCCCTTGCCGCCCTGTGCCGCTCAGACGGTCTTTGGCACGGTTCCTACAAAAGGGGCCCTGCCTGGGAGGCTTTTTATTTTTGCTGTCTCTTCCTTTTCTGTTTTTTTTTTTTTCCCCCCGGGGTGGGGAGGCAAAGGCTGTCCCCAAGCCACAGTGACGTGGAGGCATCGAAGGGGGAGCAGTCGTTACACAATTAGCCAATGAAATTGTCTCCCTGTGTCCCCGCTGCCTGCGTTAGTATATTTAGACATCACCCGTTCACACATCAGTGAGGCTGGCAGCCTCCTTTAGTGTTCTTTTTTTTTTTTTAAAGATTTTTTTTATTTATTTATTTGAGACAGAGAGAATGAGAGACAGAGAGCATGAGAGGGAGGAGGGTCAGAGGGAGAAGCAGACTCCCTGCCGAGCAGGGAGCCCGATGCGGGACTCGATCCTGGGACTCCAGGATCATGACCTGAGCCGAAGGCAGTCGCTTAACCAACTGAGCCACCCAGGCGCCCTCCTTTAGTGTTCTTGAAAGTCATGTTCCTGTCTGGTAGAAAAGAGTAGTCGAAAGATGCCAGTGGACCAGTGGGAACCGGCTCCTCCCTCCTTCCCCGGGCCTTTGATCGTCCCAGAAGAGAACGAGCAGTAGAGGAATCCCAGCTGCTAACACTGCCTTTTCTTCTCCCTGCGTCTGGCAGCTGGTGTTGCGAATCAATGCCATTTATGAGGCCCGGAGAGGGAAGAAACGCGTGAAGAGGCTCTCCCAGTCCACGGAGAGCGGCTCGGGAAAAGGTACCGTCCACCGTCCCACCTCCCCCACCTATGTGAAAACAAGAGTCTTCCTAAAAGAGGCTTCCTGTTGTTTGGGGTTGGCTCACCAAAGAGGAGAACAAGGTGGTGCTTTGTAAATACCTCCTGTTGTCCTTGGGACCGCGGGACAGCGAAGAGCCAGGAATGAGCTCAGCCTGGTGGTGCATCCTCTGGTCCTGTTTCACTGTCCGTCAGGCCAGCCCAGCGCTGTGGGCTCTGGCTCACCCTGGGAGCTGCCTTCTTTGCTTCCCATGCATATAAGGAGCGGTCTCTGCTATATTACCAGATATAGGTACCATCTGAACTAGAGCCACATTAATTTGGAAATTATATTTAGTTGGACGAAGACCTAGTTTGTCCATTACGTTTAAATCACCAGAAAGAAAGTAGCCCCTCTGAAGTAGAAATCTTGGATTTGTGTCACTTCATACAAAAAGTTTTCTTATTAGAAAAACTCACATGAGCAACTTTCCTCCTATTGCCATCTTTAATTTGTTGTTTGTTTGTTTTTCTGTCTAGTGACAGATGAGAACAGTGAGTCTGACAGTGACACGGAAGAGAAGCTGAAAGGTGAGAAGACCAGCTGCCGTGCATGGCACAGGCAGGGGCTGGGGAGCTACCAAGATGGCCCTTCCTGTGTAATGTGAGGGACGGGACAGAGCGTCCTTGCACGAGCTTGTTGGGCAAGGCGTGAACGTCTGAGGGGATGGGGGACCCACGGGATGCGTGGGGGCCGGTCAGTCCTGAGCATGACCGGCATGGGCCTGTTCGGTCACTGAGTCTGTGGCTGTAGAGATGCAGGGTGGCTACGTCTACAGTGGCCCCGTTGCCGTGCCTTTCCGTTATTGGTGTTTTCCACACGTGGGATGTACAGCGCAGCTGGTCTGGGGTTCCAGACACCTGGGCTCTTGTCTCACTCCTGTGAAAATTGCTGTAGGACCAGAAGGAAATCACTGAAGATCTCAGGGCCTCTAATTTCTCATCTGTCAAATGAAGTCACTGAAATAATTGGTCTCTGTAGATCTAAATTCGGTGACTTTGGTCTAGGCTTTAGTGAGTTTTCCACAATTTCTCAGACCCCAGGGGGAAGCCCAGGAAAGCCATAGTCCAGGCCTGCTGAGTGAGGTGATGGAGACCCGTGCGGTCAGCGGCCCTGCCTCATTCATCTCTCACACCCTGTGCTCCCTGGCCCACCTCTAGGATGAAACAAGCCCGTTTCCATCACAGACAACAGCGGCAGGAGGGAAGGCAAGTGGGAGCTCCTGAGTTAGTCATGGCTCTGCCCAGTCTGTCATGCAGATGATGACAAAGTTTCCCGCTCGCAAAGCTCTGTGGTCTGGATTTTGTCACATCCCACAAACTGAAAGATGAAGGGAGTGTGTGAGGGGAGGAGTCAGTGTCTCCACCCCATCTGACAGAGCGACACAAGGATGACTCAAGCCACTGTCCCCAGTCCACCCAGCCAGCCCATGGCAGAGCAAAGCCCCGCGTTCCAGGCTTCTGCACCCCTATTAGCCTGGCGGCCCATCCAGTGTTGTTCCCCCCAAGTTTGGCAAGAACCCCAAAGAGTTTTGTACTCACTTGTTAAAGGTGGGAACGCTTGTAGGATCAGAAGGAGTACTCTGAGCCGGGAACCACACAGAGCTGTCACAGCTCTGTGCGGTTCCACGTCAGAAGGAGAGACGCCCAGGCGCTCACTCGCCCTCTCTCCCCAGCTCACAGCCAGCGCCTGGTCAATGTGAAGTCCCGCCTGAAGCACGCTCCCAGATACCCGTGCCTTGACCGGGAGCTCATGGAGTACCAGCAGAGGCAGCTGTTCGAGTACTTCGTGGTCGTGTCCCTGCACAAGAAGCAGGCCGGGGCTGCGTATGTGCCAGAACTCACCCAGCAGTTCCCTCTCAAGGTACAGGGCGGCCCGGCCTCGGCGGCCTGCGAGGGGGACTGTAGCACTCGTGCCCACATCTTGTTGGGACTCGCAGTTTCCGGGAGGTACAGGAGTCTGAGGAACACTCAGTGTCTAGAATCTTGAACCATGAGTCCCCATTGGGTATAGCAAATGAAAAAAGCTGCCGCTGGAGAATTTTGGAGGTCCCAGGTGGTGAGGGATTTGAAGACTCAAAGTACAGACAGAAACACTTACTCACTTCCTGTGGTGACTATGCCATCCTCTTCATCCTCCCCGTCTCCTTATCCAGCCACATCTCTTTCCAAGCTGTCCTAGAAGCATCTTTCCCATCAGCCACACAGCTCTCCCCAGGGAGGACTATGTTTGTGTCCATGCCAAACATCTGTACGTGCACCATGTACCCCTGGATGTGTGCACTAGATTTCTGTTCTGTTCTAACATGGTTCATGAAATGGCCCTCAGAAAGCCTAAAATGGCATGACCAATAATGTATAAATTTATGCATTCTTAGGCTTTGATGCCAGTATTAAAGAGGCTCTTTTCAGTCCAACCAGAATTTACTGAGACCCTATTACATTCAAGCTGTTTTCTGCTTGGCCCCATCATTACAAAGATGAGCAAAATGTGTTTCCTGTCCTCAAGAAGCGCATACTCTGACAGGAAGGCAAAAGATAAGCATACGAAGACTCATGAGGTAGAATGTGACACCATGCACGGTTCATACAATGAAGGTGCTCGGAGGCAGGGGGCGGGGAGGGCGTACCGTCCTGGTCCCCTCAGGGGCCTCCCTTTGCTGCCACCACCCACACATAATCCCAGTATCTGTGGAGGCCTGGGTCTCCTCCTGTCCTGGGCCAGCTTCCTTCTGTCCTGCCCACGGTGGTCCAGTGCAGCAATCAAGTCCTGTCCTTGGAATTTAGGATGGAAACTGTATAATTGAAGTAAGCCATGGGCACTAGCCCTCCTAACTTGGCTCTATTGACCTTCCTTTAGCTGACCTCCAAGGATGATCCCCTGAAAACCCCAATACTATAGGTATGCCCACATTTATTTATTTATTTGTTTCTAAAATATTTTATTTATTTATTTATTTGAGAGAGAAGGAGAGGGGGGTACAGAGGGAGAAGGGGAGAGAGAATCTCAAGCAGACTCTGCTGAAAGCAGAGCGCAACGCAAGGCTCGCTCTCACAACCCTGAGATCGTGACCTGAGCTGAAATCAAGAGTTGGACTCTTAACCGACTGAGCCACCCAGGCGCCCCGTAGGTATGCCCACATTTAGTTGAGGCCCACACGGAGAGAGCACCCAGGCACGAAGAACTGTTTTTATCCTGTTTACTTCCCTCGGGGCGTAGCACAATGTTGTACACGTGGCAATACTTAATCAATGTTTCAGGAACAAAGGCATTAATTCATGAATGAATGAATGAATCACCATAACTATTGAATGCTTGTAGTTTCCAACCTGGAATCCCCAGGCTCTTAGACATCCACATTAAAACTTCTTTGAGCAGAAACTTATATAGTCATTATTGGAAAGGGGACCAATCTGGAAATGTATCAAGAAAAAGTTACCTATAATCCCACTCCACAGAGATAATCGATGTTAGCATTTTATTATGTTTTCTCCCAGACTTTTCTCACAGTGTAATTTTCTGACAAAACTGGTGTTATACACTGTATAATTTTTGCATCATGTTTTGTAAACATATCATTATTCAGAAACATATTTAATATAAATTCTAAAGCTTTTTTTTTTTAATTATATAAACTCTGTTATGTGGGTATGCCCTAATCTGTTTAACCAGTCTCTTTCTGTTGGAAATGTATCTTGTTGCCAGTGTTTCTTTAGATATATATTTTAAATGTTATGTGATCATTCTGTACATGCATTTTTTGCAGATCAGGCTATTTTATATCTTCTTGCCTTTGCTCTCTTTCTCTGTCAGAAGTACCTTTTCCTCCTTTCTCTTTCTCATGAGTTTTATCCCCCATTTCTATAGTCACCTTGACCAAGACTTACTCTCCATATTTGCACACTAGAGATCATGCCTGCCATGTTCCACTAAAATGCTCAATATCATGTAATTATCTTTATGACAATTCGTGGAGAGTGGGAAATTTTCCAGCCATTTATGATTGCTTGTATTTGTGAGAGACATCTCCATGTCTCACTTCCTGTAAATGAGTGTATGTGCATATAAGAGCACATTTGTGCCCATATGGGTTGATAACTCCTATGTTGATGATAGCATGTATAGGCACATGTGTGTTCACACGTATTTGTGTGTATCGTGCATGTGATCCGAGGGCGGGTATATCCAAATGGATGGGCCATGTCAAAAAGTGCTAGAACTTGCCTCCCTACAAGGCCTACTCTGCAGTTCTCTAATGGTTTCCACTGTGGAGAAATGTCCCTGTTCTGTCCTTTTGTATTCTTTATAGTTGATGGCCCTTCCCTCTGTGGTGATTAATGACCCCTTCCAACAACTACACCCAGCTGGTATTTGCTTCTCTGTGAGACTGTCCAAGGGTAGTCAAAATTATTGCTTTGGCAACAGTCTGAGCTAGTGAATTATCAACTCAAAAACTGCTCCAGGACCAGCTGGAATCTTCTGGGTCATGGAGGGAAGAGAGTATCATTATATAGAAAAGAGACAGTGACTACTGATTCTGAAGGAGGAAAACCAAAAGACAGTTACTAATTGGCTTTAAGTCTATAAATGGTGGCTGTGTTTCATTCATTGATAGTTGTCTCAACCATTAATATTAATAGCAGCTTTAATTTTATTTGCTGTAGCCTAAGGGAAAACATACTAGAAGTAGGTTTTAAAATTGAGAAAAAATCAGCCCAGTGCTGTATTCCTTTGGATACTCTCTTTAGAGACCTTCCCTCTCTGACATTTGGTGTCCTGGGGAAGGCTTCTAGATCCTCTGGGAAGCATTCAACAGTGTTGGTGGTCTGCAGACTTCAGAAGCTGTCTGCAAAGCTGGTTTGAGGTGGAGGTCAATGGCAAGCTCTGAGAGACAAAATAAGAAATTGGTGGAAAATATTACAGAAAGAATTTAGGTTAGAAATTACAGTTTTCTAACTTCAGAAATTCAGACTCCAAATATTTGGTACATCAAATTACTGAAGCTAACTTGAGCATAATGTTTTTCTTTAACTCTTTATAAAGAAAAGTTAACAAGTATAAATGTGTCAATAACAACAACAGAAGCCAGCCATTCTTCCCAACACTTTAGAAGTACAAATTTATAAACAAATATGCTAATTACTGATTATTCCTTTTTGTTTCCTAAACTTGAACCTATAGTGCTTCATTTTTAACATGGCACAAAAATATACAACATAGGGGCGCCTGGGGGGCTCAGTCGGTTAAGCATCTGCCTTCAGCTCAGGTCAGGATCCCAGGGTCCTGGGATCGAGCCCCGCATCGGGCTCCCTGCTCAGCGAGGAGCCTGTTTCTCCCTCTCCCACTCCCCCTGCTTGTGTTCCCTCTCTCGCTGTGTCTCTCTCTGTCAAGTAAATAAATAAAGTCTTTAAAAATGTATATATATAGGGCGCCTGGGTGGCTCAGTTGGTTAAGCGACTGCCTTCGGCTCAGGTCATGATCCTGGAGTCCCAGGATCGAGTCCCGCATCGGGCTCCCTGCTCGGCAGGGAGTCTGCTTCTCCCTCTGCCCCTCCTCCCTCTCATGCTGTCTCTCATTCTCTCTGTCTCAAATAAATAAATAAAATCTTTAAAAAAAAAAAAAATGTATATATATATATACACACACACACATACACACACACACACACACACAACATAAAATTCACCCTCCCAACATTTCCAAGTATATAGAACAGTGTTGTCAACTGCACGCACATTATTGTTCAGTAGATCCGCAGAATGGGGCGCAAAGCACAGACTCCTGTTCATACACAAATAAGTAAACACATGGCTTTAAATACAATCTTTAATTAGACTTTAAAGATTGTATGTATTTATTTGAGAAAGAAGAGCAAGAGAGAGAGAGAGAGATTGAGAGAGCAAGCATGAGCGGGGGAGGAATAGAGGAAAAGGGAGAAGCAGACTCTCTGCTGAACAGGAAGCCCAATGCGGGGCTCAATCATAGGACTCCGGGATCATGACCTGAGCCGAAGGCAGACGCTTAACTACCTGACCCACCCAGGCACCCCTGTTCTGTTTTTTTAACAAGAGGATGTTCATTCAGTCTATGATGTCAAATAAATCAGAGAGAGAGAGACTAAAGATTAAGATTCCTAGCTAGAGGGGCACCTGCATGGCTCAGTCAGTTGAGCATCCAACTCTTGATTTCAGGTCAGGTCATGATCTCAGGGTCGTGGGATCAAGCCCCCCTTCAAGCTACACACTCAGTGCAGAGTCTTCTTGTCCCTCTCCCTCTGCTCCTCCCCACTGCAATCTCTCTCTCAGGAAAAGTTAAAAAAAAAACAAAACAAAACAGGAAAAACCATCCCTAGCTAGATTCCACACTAATTATGTGACCATGGACATATCACTTAACGTGTCAGGGCTATTTCCTTATCTCTAAAATAAGAATGTGACACTGGATGATGTCTCATTTCCTTTCAGTTCTGACATTCAAGGACAATGAAATTAATTGAAGTTTAGTGTATAATGTAATTTAACTGGATGTGTTCACTAAGAAATGTTACAAAATGTCTTTGCCTGGATCGAGGAAGAGCAGCTTTCAGGGGCCCAGAGGTTGGAAGACCAGATTCAAGGCTCTGCCTTGCAGATTCAGAGTCTCCTATTTGGAGGGGATTGGTTTGACACTTTTTCCTTATTGGTTAAATAGTTATAGTCCAGGGGCACCTGGGTGGCTCAGTCGGTTAATCGTCTGCCTTCAGTTCAGGTCAGAGCCCATAATCCTGGGATTGAGTCCCGTGTCGGGCTCCCTATTCAGTGGGGAGCCTGCGTCTCCCTCTCTCTCTGCCGCTTCCCTTGCTTGTGCTCTCTCACGCTCTCTCTCTCTGTCAAATAAGTAAATAAAATCTTTTAAAAAATAATAAAAAATAAAATATAGTCCAAAAAAATATACAAAAAATAAAATAAATAAAACAGTTATATTCCAGAATGTTAGACATCAAGAATATTTCTCTAAAACACACTATTTTGTTTTCTCCTGACTTCTCCCATAAGACTAGAGTTGACAGTGCCCTGGGGAAAAAAAGGCCCCAGCAGACTGAGCTACAGACCCTTCCTAGGTTAAGGTGGTGGTCTCAACTGTGGGCAGGTGGAAGATGTGGTCTTGCCAAGCATCTGCCTTTCTCTCCCAAGCTGGGGTTTATTCCCCAACCTTCTCTCACCCTTCTCGCTGCAGTTGGAAAGGTCTTTCAAGTTCATGAGAGAGTCTGAGGACCAGCTGAAGGCTATCCCTCAGTTCTGTTTCCCTGATGCCAAGGACTGGACTCCTGTCCAGCAATTTACCAGGTATGTGCAGGCATCTCCCTTCCCCACCCCCAAAGGCTCGGCAAGAACCAGGGAGAGGTCATAGAGGACAGACGCCATAATTCGGTTTTACTGCCAGCAATCCTGATGGGCCCCAGGCTAGAGACTTTCCCCACCGGTGTTTTAAAACTTCCCTGAAGATAAGAACCACCTGGCTAAATATGCAGATTCCCAGCCTCCCACTCAAATCTGGGCATATGTTTGGTTCATAAGCCTCTGTGAAGGGCAAAAGTAATTCTTCGTCTAGGAGAAACTAGAGGAACATTGCCTGTCACCCTTCCTTGTCCGTGCTCTGGAATCATTTAATAGCAGCCCATCTAGCTGTCAACTCAGATTGTAATAGCTTTACGTTTCTGCTTTAACCATGTTGTTACGTACCAGTATTTTTTTTATCAGATGTTTCAGCAATTGACCAAACTCAGGGGGCTACATAGCCTGTATTTGAGGCACACTGTGTTCCTCAAGGTTGGCTCAGCAGTCTCTCAGGGCAGTCCAAGCCTCGGGGGGCTCTGAAGAGACAGTTCTCAGGGAGGGTCACCCCAGGGGCAGTTTCAAGAGGGACACAGAACTGTCCCCTCTTCGGCTGCTCCTTCACTGAGTCACATCCCTAGAACAGCGGGTGCCCTCTCACCCTGGAGCTCACGGAGGGCCATAGTCACAACCGATGCTCTGTAAGTGACTGCCGTTCTTGGGCAACGGGGCGGTCAGGTGATCGAGCGCTATGAGACCTCATCCTTTCAGGATGCAGTGACACTTTAGGTCTCCTTCTCCCTCACACAGACCCCAAAACTACAGGCGCACAGAGTCCTCGCACAGAGATGGACAGGCAGGACAGGGAGCCGCCCTTTTTGACAGCCCCTCCAGAATGTCCCCCGATTGCTCTCTAACCAGGTGTCTTTTGTTTTGTTTTGCTATGTAATGTACTTTTGTTTCCCCAACCGCAGTGAAACCTTCTCATTTGTCTTAACTGGAGAAGATGGGAGCAGACGGTTCGGTTACTGCCGAAGACTGCTGGTTAGTACAGTCTTCTGTTGGTCTGCCAGCGCTCTGGGCAGCCCTGCGCAGCACTGGGTCCTGGGGCTCCACCGTGTGCCATGAGAGAAGAGGCAGGAAGTGTGACAGGTTCATCAGCGGAGTTAAAAACATGGAAGATTTGGGTATTCATCGAAATCTTACTGGTAGAAAGGAACAAGAACTCTGTCTCCCTTAGAAAGAAAATACTTCCTCCATTATTTTCCCTGCCAAATAAAAGACCTTTCTGTCCTTAAGCCAAATATTCTTTCTAATAAAACATGCTAAACAGACCCGGAGAGCTTATAGCGCACACATTCATAACGGTTGCTAAGGGCCAAAGAAGGATAGTTCTGTTGTTCATGCTACAGATCATTCAAGAATGTGTTCTTCAGAACAATCACCTTTAGAAGTGATGATTGTATTCCAATGAAATGATCATGCTAACCGATTTTAGAGCTTGTCTTTTTGAGACCCATTCTTTTGAAAATCTTTAATAGAAGCAAATCATTTTCCACTCAGTGTATTTGAATCTTTGAAGTAAGTTGATATAATTTAGAGTCAGGATAATGCACAGCACATAGTAGGTATTCAATAAATATTTGTTGAATTAATTAGTGAATAAAAAGCATAGATAACAATTTAAAAAGTGAAATGGATAATAAGTTTTGGTAATGAAATTACTTTGACATATTGAGATTGATTTTCATTTTGGTTGGAAAATTACCTTAAAAGGCAGGTTCCAAAAAGGATATTCAGAAATGATTTCTGGTTTGGAATTACCATTATAATAAACAACATTTGGTTTCAAGGTAACTCCTTAAGAGGGACCACAGTGATTTCGGTAAACAAGTTAAGCCTCCGTACTTTACAGCTCCATAGGCCATATTGAGCACCTACTGTGCGCACGACACCCTTGATTTGGTCCCTTCAGGAGACTATAAATATGTATACTGTGTGACCAGAAGTGCTTCCCACCTATAAAATGGGATATTGGTAACTACTTACTTGGGTTTTCAAAAGCTGCAGTAGGGAAACATCTGGCACATGACAGGCACTTAAAAATGTTTGGGTTCTCTACTTTGAGATGGTAACACTCACGATTTCCTTGTTTCACACCAAAAGCCTGGTGGCAAAGGGAAGCGTCTCCCTGAAGTTTACTGCATTGTGAGCCGCCTGGGATGCTTCAGCCTCTTTTCAAAGGTGAGGCCTCAGAGGAGGGAGGAGGGGAAGGCAAGACAGAGCCCGGGAGGACACAGGAAACACCTGGACTCCTGGTGCTTTTGTAATCATATCCCCACATAGTTTCCTTCCCACTTCCTCCCCCATCACCTCCTCTGTTCTCTTATCATTAGTACCCGCAGTGAGAGCCAGTGAAGGTCAGGGCCCAGAGAGAGGCGGTTGGGGAAGAGGCAAAGTAATTACAGAGGATGGAAGGGGCAGAGGATCTTCCCAGAATATTCCTTGTGTTTTACTTTCTTACTTCTAAGCATTGTCTTTTGTCATACTCGCTTTTGCATGACAAAGAGGCCACTTGGATGGATGGATGTGTAAGTATGTATATATGTGTGGTGTGTGTGAGATATTTATTATTGTAGTAGTGCTCTAAATGGATCAAAACCTTGGGGTGCCTGGGTGGCTCAGATGGTTAAGCGTCTGCCTTCGGCTCAGGTCATGATCTCAGGGTCCTGGGATCGAGCCCCGCATCGGGCTCCCTGCTTGGGTGGGGAGCCTGCTTCTCCGTCTACCTCTACTGTTCCCCCTGCTTGTGCTCTCTCGCTCTCTCTGTCAAATAAATAAATAAAATCTTTAAAATAAATAAATAAATGGATCAAAATCTTAATACAATTTGGTCCTCTTTTTGGGAAGATGAGCCAGTGTATCAAGACCTAGGAATTGCCATACTGAATTGGCTCACCCACCCCACTATTCTGGGTGGACAGAGGAGCTAATTGCTATTGTGTATGATGATAATCTCAAAAATTAGGTATAATCCAACATTCATTTCCTACATTAACCAGACATGAGTATCTAATCCATAAAGTGATTTTAAATTCTCCTTGAGCATTTCTTTCTGAGCTTTCTTTCGGAGAATTGAAGTCCTGTGTCTATTGTCCACGGATGGCAAACAGCACTTCCTAAAAGCGTTCCGAAACATGTCTGCCTCCTGGCCACCTTCCACTTACCTCAGAGGAAGCCTGATCTATACTGATCTAGTGTAACCTCTTGCCTTGGTAGAACTTATACTTCTGGGCAAGTGTGTTAGAAATAAAGAATGATATCGATGTATCTGTGTTCCTGCCTCCCCTCCGCTGGGGTGGTAAGCCTTTTACACAGAAGTTGGTCACTTAGAGGCTCTAGGACAGTTATGCATTACTGCTCACGTAGGTCTCTCCCAAGGGGTTGTTTAAATGTGGAAATAAGGCTGTGTCATAGCCTTTGCTGTTGTGAGAATGCTACAGAAGGTAGAAGTAAAACAGCTGAGTTAGCCCAGCATCCAGTGGTGCCTTTGGAATTCACGTGAGCTCCATTGTTTTGTCATGGACGGGGGATGACAAGCAAGTCAACATACTAACAGTGTGTGATGCACAGTTCTGTGCTTTTGTAGCATTTTTGTGACTAGAGATACTGTGGGAGTGTGATGTGATGCCATGCCAAAGACCAAACAGTAAATATGCTGGATAGAACCAGAAACAGAGCTTTGGCAAACTGATCTCTAAAACTCGAGCTCTTTCCAGGTGAGGGACTAGGATGGCTAAAATGACAAATTGTCCTGTTGTACAGAGAAAGGAATCAGGGTTGTGAGTTCAAGCCCCACATTGAAAAACAAAAACAGAAAACGAAGGAAGGAGGGAAGGGGAATCCTGTTCAAGAACAGCTCTCAAAATCTCTGAAGAAAAGTATACCATTAAGTATCACTAACAGTCATGCCGAGTAACAAACCACAGTGGCTTAAAGCACCAGTCATTTATTCTTACAGACGCGCAGATCAGCTGGCCTCAGCTCGGCTTTTCTCCACTGGGCTCACTCGTGCGTTGGGGGTAGGCTGGGAGTTGGCTGACTCAGGCAGCCCGGGCTCTGCTGTCGGCTGCCAGTCTGGGGTTGGGCCTAGTCCACATGTCTGTCTTCCTCCTTAGACAGGGAGCTGGCCCAGGTGTGCAGTTCTTGTGCCTGAGGCAGAGGCCCAAGTGGGCAAGCAGAAACACGTAAGACAGGCCTCCTAAGGCCCAGGTTTCAAACTGGTGCACTGTCACTTCTGCTTCAGTGTTCCTCATCCATTCTTTATTACCCCCTAACCAGCCTTTTAAGATTTTTTTTCCCTGAATTGCCTCCCCACCCCCAAAAGATTCTTTTTAATTTTTTGTCATGTTATTTTTTAACATGCTAAAATAAACATAACATAAAAGTTACTATTTTAGCCATTTTTTAAAGATTTTATTTTTAAGTAATCTCTACACCCAACATGGGGCTCAAACTCACAACCCTCAGATCAAGAGTTGCATGCTCTACCGACTAAGCCAGCCAGATGCCCCTATTTTAGCCATTTTTAAGTGTACAGTTGATTAGCATTATGTTCATTCACATTGTGTATACCTGTCACCATCATCCATCTCCAGAATTTTTTGATATCTCTGAACCAAAACTCTGCACCCATTAAACACTAACTCCCCATTCCCTTCTTTCCCTAGTCCTGGCAACCACCATTCTACTTTCTGTCTCTATGAATCTGCTCACTGCAGGATCTCATGTAAATGGAATCATATATTTATCCTTCTGTGACTGACTTATATTCACTTAGCATATGTCCTCAAGGTTCATCAATATTGGAGCATATGTCATAATTTCCTTCCTTTTTAAAGCTGAGTAACAGTCTATTATTTGTATATATCACATTTTCTTTATCTGTCCATCAGTTTATTAGATGAACATTTGTGTTGTTTCCACATTTTAGTTATTGTGAATTATGCTGCTATGAACATGGCCATTCAGATATCTGAGTCCCTGCTTTCAAATATTTGGGCTATGTACCCATAAGTGTGGAATTACTGGATTATATGGTAATTCTATGTTTAATTTTTTGAAGAATTACCATATATACGATCTTTTTAATTTTAATAATAAATTTCATTTAACCCACATATCCAAAATATTATTTTTTCAACATATAATCCATATGGTCATTGATAGTTTACATCCTTAATTTTGTATTCTGAAATCTACTGAGGATTTTACACTTTACAACACACCTCAATTCAGACTCGCCATATTTCAAGGGTTCAATGGCTACACGTGTATTAATATAAATGGTATTTTTATTTAAACTCTTTGGTCCGGGGTGCCTGGGTGGCTCAGTCGTTAAGCATCTGCCTCCAGGTCAGGTCATGATCCCAGAGTCCTGGGATCGAGCCCCGTGTCGGGCTTCCTGCTCTGCGGGAAGCCTGCTTCTCCCTCTCCCACTCCCCCTGCTTGTGTTCCCTCTCTCACTGTGTCTCTCTCTGTCAAATAAAT